GGCAGCACATCCCCGCTGTTCTCTCGATACATGTCCTGCAAGGGAGAGTGTGTATCCGGAGAACAACAGGGAGGTGATGCCGAAAGTCTGTCTCGGATCGGAGCGAACCATGGAAACTAACCTCATCTATGCATCCGTGGGCTATCCAAAATACGTGTACAATCCGAAAGAGATACGGTCGCAGATATGCAAAGATCTGCATACCTCCGACCGTATCTCTTTCGAACGGGAGACGCTAACTGGGCTACGTGACCATATAAAACATGCATGCAACGGAGGAGGGGGTTATACCTAGGGTGGCGGTGGAGTCAGGCTAGCGGGGCAGTGGCGTGTCGGTGCAGTGGCGAGGCGATGCGGTGCGAGGTGCAGACCATCAAAGAAGCGCCGATTTAAGACGATCGGGTCGCCGAGTCCCTCCCACGGGTCCTTCTCCTACATAAAAAGGCAATAGGTTAGAATCCATTGAAAATTTCGGCAGCACCTCCGCTGCACGGGGAGGTTTCCAAAACCTGCAAGAAACATAGGCACGATGGCCAACAACCACATATATACCAAACATAGGCACGAAGGCCAACAAACATATATATACCAAGACGAGCCATGTACTTTAGTTCTCTTTCCATGCAAATGAAAGTATCGAAGTAGTACAACAACAAGTACTACTACCACTACAACTACTACTAACACTAACACTACTACTACTAACACTACTACTATCACTACTTACTACTAACAATACTACTAACACTACTAACTACTACTACTTACTAACTACTACTAACACTACTAAGTACTACTACTAACTACTACAGGTGTAGGGCATACCTTCGCGACGAGAATGGCAACAACGAGGGTCGGCGACGACGGCGGGGACGACCGCAGCGGTGTGAGGGTCGACGGGCCTAGGCCGGCACCTTCCTTCTCCTCTCCTTCTCCTTCTCCTCTCCTTCTCCTCCTCTCTTCTCCCCTCCTCCTCTCTTTTCCCCTGCCTCCTCCTCCTCTCTTCTGCAGTGGCTGCCGGCGGGGACAGTGGCTGCCGACGGGGGAGGTGGCCGAGGGGGGGCCAGAAGGGGAGGAGGTGGCATAAGGGGCCGAGGCGGTGGAGGCCGGGCGGGGGGCGGCCACGCGAGGACCCGGCGCGGGGAGGCGGATGGGGACGGGCCGCCGCGCGAGGCGCCGACACGGGGAGGCGGACGGGGACGAGCGCCGCGGGGGCCCGCACGGGGAGGCGCGGTGGCCGGCGATGTGCGGCGGCGGCGGCTGAGGGAGAAAGAGGTGAGAGGGAGAGAGAAATGAGAGAAAGAGAGAGAGAGAGAGAGAGCGTCGGCCGGGCGTGGGTGAACGGATAAGGGCGGCTTTGCAAAGCCAATTTTCTTCGCCGAGTGTCGTGATCTGGCACTCGGCGAAGTTTTAAAAAAATCAGCAGCTCTTTGCCGAGTGCCAGCTGGACGGCACTCGGCAAAGTTATTACTTTACCGAGTGCCAACTCTAGGCACTCGGCAAATTTTTTTTTTAGTTTTTTGCCACCAATTTTTTTGAAGCTTTAGTACACTACCACAAACAACATGTTTAAATTTGGGACATTTTCATTGTCTTTTGGCATATTTCTATAGTTTATTTTGTTTTGTTGAATTTTTCCAGAAAATGTAAGTTTGAACTGCAGGTGCATCGAATAATGGATTACATTCGTTCAAAAAATGTTATCCTTGTTTCTTAGTGTAAATTTAGGCTAAATCCAGGAACTGTCTCAAAATTTCGATCAACGTGCTCATGGGGCAACGCCGCCAACTTGCGTGGGAGTGGTTTTTTAATTGTATAAAATGCGAACGAATTCCGAAAATCATGAAACTTGTCGAGTTGTCGCCGTATCGTATGCGTATGCCGTGGAAAAAATTTGAAAAAAATTTCGAGCACGTTGTCACGTACGATGCTCACAAACCAGGACATCTCCAATCTGTGCCACGAACGTTTTGAGTCTAATTTGAAAAAAGTTTCGAGCACGTTGTCACAAACGTTTTGAGCCTAATTAGTCCATGATTGAACACTAATTGCTAAATAAAAACGAAAGTACTACAGTAGTCAAAATCCTAAATTTCGTGGGCTAAACACATCCTAAAGTACTGGTACGTACGTACACTCGATCGCCAACCTAGCTGGCTAGCAAGCTAGCTACACAGTATAGTATCTAGTGATAAATGCCGTGGGGCTTCCATTCCTTTTGTTCGATCGCTACTAGCTGCGGCCTGCGGGGAATGTTTGGTGAATGGTGCGCTGCGTCCGTGCAAGCATATATGCGGCATGCGTGCCTGTTGGTGGTGAATATACAACACCGATCGAGAGCTACCTATAGGAAAATAATAAGTTGGGCTTATTTGCATTGTAACAAGCTACGCTTGGACCAGCCATGATACTAGTCCGAGGTATATATATGTTCGTGCGCTGGGTTTGAAAGGTACACTCTCTTTCGGTTCTAGATCGTAGGTCGTTTTAGTTTTGCACTAAATTAAACTAGTCCAAATTTGATCGTACCCTGGTTCGGTTGCATGCGCCTCATCTTCACCGGCTTCGCCCAACCCGGATGGTGGTAATAGGCTCTTATTCGAACGGTGAGGTACCCTGGGTTTATATTACAGATATGTTTTCTAGTCGATTATAAGGAAATCTAAATAGAATAACTACCATATTTTGTAAAAGTTGGCATCTAAGCTTTATACGATAGGTTACTTGTCCAGCACATCTAATAATGTACCCCGTTTTGGTTGGGCCTCATCTTCACCAGCTTCGGCCCACCTAGTGGTAATTAATGAGCTCTTATTCGGACGGTGAGGTGCCCTGGTCCATATCACCGACATTAACATATTTGTTTACTACCGAGAGCATATTATACATTTTATATATGCCCTGTTTTTGTTTGAAAAGTGTTGTTTTGATTTGAACCTCGGTTCTTTTCAATGGTTGTTGTGAGTATCCTAGGTGTGTGTTTGTGTCAATCTATATATACCATCACCTCAAGTTGTTCATATAGCGGCCAGAGGATAATTATATCGCTTCTTTTTATATGAAATGCGGAACGTACGGAATCTTGTCGTGCATGCAGGTTCCTTTAACCCAGGCAAACTCGACATATGACGCAGACGGAATGCACTGGCCGAATTATATCCATGTCTGTCTTCTAGCTAGCTACACGATAACACGAATGACCTTATTAGCTTGTCTCGCCAAACTCTTCTTGCCTTATCTCTCTTGTAATGCATTTGAGCACTGCTGAGCCCACAACTTGCCTTGCCGATCACGAGCTGTGCAGTATAAAATTGTACTTATTGCACGTACACGAACACATAAACCTTTTACTGATTATTAAGCCATTGGCTCTCCCGGCCCGGCCGTAAAATAATAATGGGGAGAATATACATACGTCCATACAAGAAATATATATATGCACTGTCATCTTTAATTTAGAGTAAATTGGATAGCCGGTCCTTAAAGTGTTATGCGATTCTCATCTAGATCCCCAAACTATTGAATCATCTATTTGACTCCCTAATGTATCTAAGTGATTTTATCCAGGTCCAAAATACTTTAGGGACCATTCCATGCATGTCATCTACTTATCTGTAGCTACGTTTTAGTAGAAGACAAGAAAAAACTTAACAGTTAACACACGAAAAAATATGAAGATCTTTCATGGAAAACCATATTTTGTTGCACTAGGCTCCAACATTTCATAGGTATTTATTAAGTTGCAAGTACCCACTAGTCCAACCTGAAAGCCTAAGCTAATTATTAGGGAATTCACTCCTTAGGGCAGTCCCAATCTAAAAACTATGAGATGCTTTCTTTACTTGCGAAGTCGTGCGGACGCTACACATAGAAATTATACTTTTAATGGATGGTTTCTTCAAAAAAAATTATTCAATCACATCTCTTCTCTCTCCTATCATCTACTTATCGCATCTATTTATATCTTGGTTCCCATGTATACATAGTTTCTTGTCTAAGAAACCATTTCCTACTCTTTCTTTGTTAATTTCATTGTCACATCGCCATCTTACTTAGTTAGCACCTTATTAATTAATGAATATAGAAAGCATCATAGTTTCTGGGTTGGGACTACCTTTAACTTTACCACTTGCTCATGAGGAGGCTACTTTTCATGCCTTAAACGTGAAAGTAGGAGTCAACAAGAATTAATTACTTTTATTTAATTCTGTTTGCTTGGATTTGAAGTTCAGACTTGTGGCCCGACCTAAATACTGAGTAGTTACATGCACCGGCTTGCTAGTTCAACCCAAAAGCCGCCCTCGGTATATGAAGAGATTTGACGTGTCCTGTGTTAAGTTTCAAATGTTTTTCTTCCCGGTTCCTTTTTCACTATTGTGTTTTTCTAAAGAAAAAGAAAGAATATATGCATATCTACCCATGAAAAGCAGCAGGATAGCAACAGAAGAACAATAAGGTCACGTGAGTGCCCACTGCCCACGGGCCACGGGGACCGGGAGACCACGACTATATAGATATGGGGATCGAGTCCTTCGTTCTTGGTCCTCCATTCAAGCTCCACACCTATACTTCTCTCTCTCTCTCTCTCTCTCTCTCTCTCTTGCTTCCATTGGGCAAGCTGTCAGGCGGCCGTCGTGTGACTTTGTAGAGTGAGAGACTAGCTCGGAGAGAGAGATGATGTCAAGGGAGCGCAAGAAGCAGGCGGCTGCTCTTCAGGAGAAACTGAAGATCCTCCGCTCCATCACCCATTCCCACGCTGTATAACACAATCTCCTTACTCAACCTTTATTTGCTTCCTCTTCTTCCTTCTTGATATTTTCCAATTCTTTTCACTGCTCTTTAGAATTCAACAACGTTTGAATGATATATATATGCATGAGAAATGCATCCATCGTCACTTGTGCAACCTTCTCGTTAGTTGTTGCATTAGCTACAATTAATACCTCTCCTGCTCTTTGAATCGATCCATATATACGCAGTTGAGCAACACATCAATAATCATGGACGCGTCGGCCTACATCAAGGAGTTGAAGCAGAAGGTGGTGAGGCTGAACCAGGAGATTGCCTGCGCGCAAGACGCGCTGAGACACAAGTCGTCCTATCCGACGGTATATATTATCTCCACATCGCATATATTTATCATGTAGAGGTACGGTACTAGCTAGATATACATGGAAAGAAATCACCATGCACATATAAGAGGTATACACAATAGATATATGGTGATATATCCCATCTTATTAACAGTAATACTACATATAGAACCAGTAAAAGAAGCAGCAGTGTATATATATAGTAGTACTGCTGCATACTGCATGCCCCAGCAGTTCACATGCTAACCAATCGATGAAGTTTGGGTTCAGCCACCAGTAGGACCAGCATAGGATAGGAGTACTAGTAGTTCACATGCGTCGACGGCGAGGGCGTCTGCTTCATTCCATGCATGTCGTCTGCATTATTCAGTCAGTTGATCAGCAGCTAGCTAGCGTTGATTGCTCAATGATGATCGAAACGGGCCGGCCGGGTGGACCGCCGGATCGGATGCAAATCATGCAATGCAGGTGACCGTGGAAACCCTAGGAGTGCAGGGGTCGTTCCTCGTCAACGTGTTCTCCGACAAGAGCTGCCCGGGGCTGCTCGTCTCCGTCCTGGAAGCCTTCGACGAGCTGGGGCTCAGCGTCCTCCAGGCCACCGCCTCCTGCGCCGACTCCTTCCGCCTCGAGGCTGTGGGCGGAGAGGTACGAAATTAAGCACAAATCGTCGTCGTCAGTTGTTGATATGGTTAATTATCGTCGTGTCGTGTTGGCCTGAGGATTCTCTCTCTCACTGGTGGCCTGCCTGTGTGCACGCAGAACGTGGCGGACAACGTGGACGAGCACGTCGTGAAGCAGGCCGTCCTGCAGGCCGTCAGGAACTGCTCCGAGAGCGGCAGCGAGCAGGACGAGGAGTAGCAGGCAGGCTGATGAGCGCGTAAGCACACACAAGCCTCTACTTGCATTGGTCGTCCTCATGTCCTGGCTGTGGCTGGACCGCATGTGTAGTGTGGTCTCAAGGACATATGAAGCCGAGACCCCTTGTATGCTAGTAGCTCCGTTTCTCAGCTCCCTAGCTCGCTTTAATTTGATTTTTTATTTTTTATTTATGCTTCTATTTCCTCGATCTATCTATCTATCGGTGGCAAGATGAAATAGCTGGTCCTCCCTAGCGAGTGCTGTCTGTCGTGCTGATGATCCGGTGATCGAATTCGTTCGTAGCAACACCATTTCCTGTGTAATAGTATTATTAGGGGGGAACTCCGTAATTTACATATATATAATATATGTCTATGATGACAATAAGATCGATCAAGCATGCATGATTAATATATATCTATGATGACAATAAGATCGATCAAGCATGCATGATGTAAGAATGTTCATATATACCCTCGATCTGCTAACAGATCAATCCATCATGAGATGAAATCAAAATGAAATATGAACTTCTGGAAAAGACTGAACATGAACAAAAGTAGATAGCAGTTAGTTGTAGCACATGCCGATACGCATTTTGGTTCCCTTCCCTAGGTTCCTGTGTTTATGGAATCTCATGAACGTACGCGGTGGTTAATTGCTCCTGGTAAGTCGGCAGCTCGATCGACCTATCTAGCTGCTAGTCCCTGAAACATATACAGTGGCTGAAGAAGAGCATAGATGAGATATACTCCGTACTACTAGTACGTAGGATTAGATATTTTATTAATTATACAAAGTTGATTGATCTGCCCAAACAAAAAATTGTACAGGGTGCACACCGTGGCCGAGCTTATTTAAAAAAGGCAGTAGTCACGGGTTCCAAAAACACAGGAAGGCAGCCAATGGGACGACGATGGCCTGGAGGCCCCAGCAGATGGATCGGAGGCCTGGTAGTCATTCGGGTCTCTCCCTCCCAACAAACAAACACCGCGCGCCGAGATGGACATGGAGGTAGCAGCGCTAGCGTCGCTCTCGCCGTGACCGTGAGATCTATCGACGATATGATGCCCAAAGCAAGGGAAGCAGTTATTTTAAAAGCTGCGGTTGCGGTGCCATTTCTTTAGGGAACACACACGGCTGGGCAGGCTACTACCCGGGTCCGGCGGAGCGAGATATGAGCAGAGCAGAGCAGAGCAGGCATCCATCCATCAACCACCCTGAATGATCTGATCCTGGGGCGCCGCAAGGTGGCAGCCGCATCGATCGCTACAACGCTCTCGTGACAGACGGCTCCGCGTCGCCTGTGACCCGTGCTGCATGCGCCCGCCCGGGGACGAGGGCGATACATACGTACGGATGCCATCAGCATCAGCTCGCTCTCGCACAGAACAAGCCAGCTAGGGACGACACAGCAAGCTGACGAAGCCACGGACAGACGGATGGATGGATCCCCGGGCGCGGCAGACGTCGCGGCGCGCGGAGGCGGCAGGCAGGGCGTACGTCGTGCCATCACCCATGCATATGCATGCATGCTCCGCGCGCGGCCTAGCTAGCTAGCTAGTTCATTCACGCCCTTCACGGTTGCATTGCATGCCCCCAGCCCCGCGCGTCCGGCCAGGCGTGTCGTACGACCGTGGCAGGGCCAGCGCTTGTCGCCTCCCCGCACGGGAGCGCGGGTGCCTTGTTTTTCATCTGGCACTGTCGAGCCAACGGACGAACCCGGGAGGCCGGGAGCATGCACGGCGCAGCATGCTGCACGGCGCTAGGGCCAGGGCTATAGGGGAGCGGGACCCCCGGCAGGTCGCCGCTGGCCCCCTGCCACGCGCCTCACGAGAGGGATTTGCGCGCGGCGCGAGGCTTGCTTCACGTCCGTCGTCGTCGTCGGGGTCCGTCCTCGTCCTCGTCCTCGTCCTCGTCCTCGATCTCCCCCTGGCGTCGCGTCCGGCGTCCGGTCCTCGTCCACGATCAGATCAGACGTGCAGTGCGGCCTCCAGACGCCAGACGGGCGGGGCTTGGCCGCACGCAGGCAGCTGCTGCTCGTGAGGCGACAATTAGGGAGGGCACTGCCGTGCCGGGGCTCTGCACTAGTCATCATTGCCCCCGCATGCATGGTGACTGACGAGACGTTCGGTTGAAACAAGCTAGCTAGGTAGCAGCAGCATCAGTGACAGCGAGCATCATCGTCCACGTGAAACCAACACGGGGGTGCATCCGTGCATGTGCCTTGCAATCCAAATGGCTCCATGTGAATACAGAATATATACTCCTATAGCAACAATGCACGCACGCACGCTGCTTGCTTGACGGACTGCATATTCAATTGTTCATTCGAAACAAAACGGAGCGAATTACAACGGTGCCATACGAGTGTATATATTAGAGGAGGTTCTTTTTGCCTGATTGACTTTAATCATCAAATCTGTGATGCAATGAAAGCAAAATCTGCATACCTGCGAATTGTCCTGCAGTGGTCAGCCAACACCTTTTGTGGCTCCCAACATTGTACCCCTTGGCAGAGCAGAAACGCTTGCAACACCCGGTGCCTCAACACAGATCCAAATCTCTAGGAATCATTTCAGATTTGAACTAAATCCCCTAATCCAGAACACCACACAGGTGGCAACATTGCCAACCCTACAGGTCCACTACAAGGAAGCGGCTGAAAGTGAAAAAAACCGTTCTCTTCAGTGAACAGTTCAGTTCAGTTGCCCATCCACCTTGCGAGTCTGCTGAGTAGCGTTGTGATGAAATTAGACACTGCTAACACTCTTTCTAGCCATCTTCACGCGGTCATAATCAGCCCTCCATGCTCTGTAGGCCTCCCTAACTTCGTCCAGCTGTGAATCTGGTATGCCAGCGAACCTGTCCAAGTTCTCCGGCCATTCTTTCCACGGTGGCATAGAGGGATCCAAGAACTTCGCTACTTCTGGCAGAAGAGCCGCCTTGTAGAATTCCTCAACCCATTTCCTGATTGCTGCTGACTTGTTCATTGACTGGATCCCCGGGCGAACAATTCTCCCTTCCTTGCTCTTCGTGCAGAAACTATTATCCTTAAGGATCAGAACTTCTGAAGGGGCTATCGGTAGAACGATTCTAGAAAACTTTGCAAGAGACAGTTCTATGATATCTTTTGGTAGTAATCCACGCTTCACTGCCACGGCAGTTCCAACCATTTTCCGGATCTGAGGTCAAGAAAAAGAATAGCATGACTACAAAATCATAACTCCATCTCTGCATGATATTTTCAGTAATTAGTATCAGCAATTAATTGTCTCCTATGAACAACCCCAACAGACTGTTTTAACAATCATGTTACTTCTCAGATGTGACTAGATTGTTGGCAGTGAATATCACTATTCAATGAACTGGTTAGCAAAGAAGAAACTGTTTTAAAAGGCATGTGAGCTTCTCAAGTCCTCAGAGGGATTAGTTTCTTGACAGTGATATCAAGTAACACAATTCAGAATCATAAACACTACTATACTGAGCAGGTTTCTCAGAGGGGCGAACTTCAAAAATCAAGTATGTATCTATAGGTTAGCTTGACAAAACACCCAAAACAAAAACACAAAGTCTAGCAATGAAGTATTCAACCTTAAAAGTAATCCTGTGAAATCTGGCTGCCCCTGATCAGTTGTAAGGGAGTATTACATTAATAATGACTTCACAGTGGATTATACATACCTGGTGTAGCATGAAAGATACCCCGCATATGGTCAATTCCACAAATTGAATTCCTGATGAAGTTTGCAACTCTCCACAGGAACAGGTAATGATATCTCTAAAATGTGAAGCATTTAATCTATCACTTTCATCAGGTTCATGCAGCCACCTAGCTTGAATCTGCACCCGATTCTCAGAAAGTTTCAGAATATCATTCACACAATTGTCTTCTGATGCACCAGTGTCAATGATTGATGAAATATTCAAGTCCTCATCATGATCTGAAGAAGTGCTTTCTTCAGAAGAGCTTTCTGCCATACCCATTTCGGAGGACATGGACTTCAACGTCGAGCTTGCTCCTTTCACCCTTTGGTGTCTTCCCGCGAGGACCTTCTTATACTTGGCACGTGCTGTGTAATTATGAAATGGATGGTTTCCCTACAAGTTGAGAAGATATAGCAAAATTTGTGTGCATGCAAAGTAATTCAACGAGAAAATTTATTCTGACAAGGTCTTCCCCTAATATTCATATTGGGGCGAAAGAGGGTGTGCTTGAAAAGTTAAATATCCTAAGGATTTAATTTGTCCAGGCTTCTACAAATTTGTGTTATGTCTAAGCAGTAATTGTCTAGCAACTGTCACACAAAGAGTAAACTGAACTAGGCTCCACTTCTTCAGTTGTGTCAGTACTTGAACCTTCAAGTTTAGTCTAAAAGGAGCTTGAAGTTGTTTAACTGCCCACTGAAGCATCCAGCAGTGAAGCAATTGGAAAAATACCAACAAATGAACATGCTTAATTATGACACATGGCTTGCTTTGCATGCTTAAATGTTCATAAGCATTTGAAGATTTTTTTTTCTATCGTCTAATTGAGAAATCAGAAGGGCGGGCATGGTGCAAGCGGTAGAGTCTTACCGCCTGTGACCAGAAGGTCCTGGGTTCGAGTCGCAGTCTCCTCGCATTGCACAGGCAAGGGTAAGGCTTGCCACTGACACCCTTCCCTAGACCCCGCACAGAGCGGGAGCTCTCTGCACTGGGTACGCCCCCGCCGTCTACTTGAGAAATCACAGACGGACGCATTTCAGGTACATATACCAGGGCAGAATCTCTACTCCTAAAAAGATTGAACTGGACCCGTTCACTTCCCGTGGTGAAGCCGGCCGTCACTGCACGCCCCACCTGCGATCTTCTCAGCACCAACAGGTGGCCCCTCCTACGCTCCCCTCGCGGCCGCGCCCGGCGCCCCTCTTCTCCGCAGTCCGCATGACCGCGCGCCGTCTCTGCACCTTCGCACCCCGTCGGCCGTCGCTGCACTGCCTTGCCCCCCCGCACTCTGCCCCGTCCCGTCGCAAGGCCGCCCCTCAGATCCACTCCTCCCCATCCCGTCCTGCGCCACCTCCACCCCGTGCGCCGTCGCCCAGCCCCGTCCGGCCGCCTCGCCCCGCCCTGCTCCGCTGCAGAAGAAGAGGGCAGCAGTCTGCATGGCAACCCCTACGGACTCCGCATCCCCGCCGAGCACAGCCCTTCGCCCCCCGGCCCCTGCCGCCCCTGGCCATGGTGTATGCACAGAGGACACCAGCCTGGTCAAGGACAAGCTCTCCCGCGTCGCCGGCCGGGAAGGAGACAAGGTCACCGTCAACAAGGACTATACTACCGGGTTCACCGAGAGCGCCAGCGCCCGCATCTTCATCCACTGTCTCTCCACCACGTATGAAATCCCATTCCCTTCCTCAGTCCCACAGCACTCTCTGATTTAGATCTAGATTGCCCTGATTTACAGTTGGCCCTGTTCGTTTCGCTGAAAAGACAGGCTGAAAAGTACCTTTCGCTGATTTGTTGAGAGAAAAACACTACCATGGCTGATAAGTTCAAGCGAACATGGCCTTACTGTGATTCTTATACTCTGTTGCTCTGCGTGGATCGTGAGTTGGAACTTGGAAGAGAGAGTAAGTAATCTGATACTATCATTTTGTTGCAGGAGCAGTGTGGTACATATATTTTATCCAATCGAATACTGGGTATTTTTGGGGAAAATTAAAGAATGTTACCATGGCTCCAAGCAATTGACAGTGCATTTTACTGTGGCTGAGTCCAAGATCCAGAAGATATTATTGGAGACGAGGGAGCTGCATATGGAAAGAGAATTACTGCTGGACTGACAAGGCAGATATTAGAAGGGATATTGAGAGTCTGCACTCACCAATTAAGGGTTTGAAGGATCGTCGAGATGCATATAACAGGGATAGGAATAGCCTCATCGATCTATTTGAAAAGTACAAGGTATACAAAAAAACTGTGGGATTTCTATTTTTTGAGGGATTAGATTCTCTGTTGGTTAAAGATAGCATTGAAATTGAGCACCCCAGTTTGGCTGTTGAGGGAGATGATCGTGCCTTGACCACCGATAGGTCCAGATACAGGAACCCTCTTGTTAATTTAGGTGGTCGTTTGTCTGTTACAGTGAGGCTTTTCAAGTTCTCTCCTAGAAAAAAAGGTGAGCAGTCATCAGAACAGAGAAGAATATAGCTTTTGGTGCAAGGCTGGAGGGAGCAACACACAGAGATGGAGATTATGAGCAACTCCTGTCTATGAGATAGCCCATGATTCTTTTGTCGTGGACGATGATCTTCATTATTTTATAGTAAAGGCATAGAGGCGTCGGTGGAGCGCATGGGTGCCAGAACATAGGCACATAGGCGCCACGACCAGCACATAGGCGGAGCACCGCACGCATTGGCCTTGCTAGCCAGGTATGAAATTGCTTTGTTTTCCAACGGTGAATACGGATCAATGTTTGTGATGGGATTGTGATGTTTGTTAGGTGATGTGTGTGGTTTGTTGGGGCTGCGAATTGGAGCTGTGATCAGGGGAAGCATTTGCATGTGCTGCCATGCTGGTGTTTAGTAGATTAATAATGTTTGATTTGTCATTAAAAGTGGCTAATGATTATCTTATAACCAATAGGACTTCTCTCAAATATCCACGTGTATATCATTTATTTTCTGAATTTTAGTCAATGGAGAGTATTAATCATTTCATAGATGAATTGAATCATTGATTAGTTCCTGCTTCCTGGTTTACTGTGTGGATTGAAGGGAACGAACAACCGAGGAATTTTAGTCAATGCTTCTTTTATTGTGTTTGGGATTTTAGGGATTAAAGTCAAACATAGAAATTGAGTATTTTTAAAACAAAGACTTAGATATGCAAGGCTTTGTTGTTGTTGTTGTTGTAGACTTAGATATGCATGTTGGCTACAAATCAACCGTTGTAAAAAAATGCCGATCTTATTGTTGGTTCCACCATTTTATGTACATGCATGTGAAGCTGAGCTTGATGGTCTCCTTTTCTCTTCTAGATCCCTCTAATCTGTGATTGGAAGCTTCAGCAAATATAACATGTTGATGGGATTATGAGAGTTCTGAATGCAGTACCAGTCATACTGAATCATGTTCGCACTCCAAAGATCATGAGGGTTTTGTTATGATTACTGGACCTGATGACATGCCAACACATATTAACCCACCAATGTTTGGTTGTGCCTGACGTATGTGTTTCCTCACGTATTTCCTCCCTCCATTATGTTTATGTCATTCTTCTACTGCATAAAAGTTTTAATAGGTTGCATCTTTGCACTCTGCAGGAGTCCTCTAACCGATGGCATCTCAATATGGGAGGTAAGGGAAACACACACACCTTCTCACAATTGCTTAGATATCCCCAATTTGCATTTGGAAGATCATAATTTAGTAATGCCTGGCAAACGGATGTGACCTTAGGAAATAGGTCAAATACATTTTGAACCTGAATGTAAAATTAAGACTGTTTCAAGTGTACCATGTTCTAGATTCAGCTGTAACATATGAATGGATGCTAGAAATTCCAATAAATTCACATGTACAGTTATCCTTGTGATTTTTGGCTTAGGTGATCATTAGTATTCCCATCATTGCATTGGGACAATGCAAGGTGCAGTTTTAACTTATAAAATTAGAGAACTAACGAAGACGGTATATATTGTAATATTAGTGCATTTTGACACAACCAGAACTTTAGTAGTGTTATAGCACTGGGCTAGCTCATCAACCTGGTTTATTAGAAAGTTGTCTCTTGCAGTTTTCTTGCTCAGTTGCATTCAAGAAGCACTCTTCCTTGATCTCCTAGTTTTTCAAGCATTTTAACCTTTTTTTTCATGTGCTACAAACTCTTGACGTTGTGCTAACAATTCAACCGTTGCTGTTTATATATGTTGTTGTTGGGTTGAGTGCGAGGAGACTATGTCAGTGAGGGACGAGTGTCTACCTCTTTTTTATGGTTGAGTCCTTGAATCTTAAAGAATATCATCTGCTGGTGGCGGTTCCATCCAACAGTCTCCGAACCAAAACACCGTTGCCTGGACCGATTTTTTTTTTCTATATTTTTATCGCGTTGAAAATTTTGAGGCTCCGTAGCAACGCACGGGCATCTGCTAGTACGAGATTAAGGTTCGTGGAATCATGGGTCAACTGGATAGGTCTGATGACCTCTGATGTAATATGCTCATTAAATAAAACTCACTGCCATGGCCTCTTTCTGATTTCAACATATAAGGATGTCCCCCAAATCACTTGCGTGTTATCATTAGATTCATGGAAGATGTATCCTAATTCCTACTGTTTTGCGAATCCTGAACAGCTACAGAATGAACAAGGCCCATACCTCGAAACCTTTCAGTATGCTGTTGAATTCAGACAAGTGCTCTTGCATTTCTTCAGGGCTATAACCATCTTTAATTCCAATAACTTCAGCAGGAAGAAGATAGAAATACTCATGGTATAAGCACTCCCTCCTTACATCAAAACTCCTATAGTTCAATGCACACCATGCCATGATAAAAATTAAGATAATCGAATGAATCCTCTATTCTCTACTATTTCTGTACAATAAACGACCCATTTACCTTTGTGCAGGCAAGATACTAAAAACCCTCACATTGTCTGGCAAATTTGAGTTGATGAAACTGGCAAGAGCAATACCATCAGGATCATCCTCCCATGCTCTATCAGGGATTTCCATTTTAAGGGAAATCATTGTAGCCAATGAGTGTACCTGAAATTAGTCCATTCTAAGCATGCATACAAGCCTTTGTTAGCTGGAAAAAATTAAATGCATTCTTCATAAAATTCAAGCAGTTAAATGGTTAAAGCCTACCCCTTTATCAGTTCGGCTACTCCTCTCCCACCCAACCTTTTGCAGTTTTCCATAATTACTCTAAAAAATTCCCCCTGACATGAAGATGGCAGATTCCAAGACTGACTCAATGGCTGCAGAATGATCTCAGAGCAATCAATCTGCATCTTATACTGTCAATGCATCATTCTGAATTGCTGATAATTAACAAAAGAACCAGGAGCAACTATAGTCTATAGAGCATCCATGATTTAGGGCCTGTTTGGATCCCATGGCTAATTGTTAGCTAGCTAAAAATTAGCCCAAATTAGCTCTAATGTATTCAAATAGGAGGGCTAATAGGTGGGCTATTTTTTTAAACAAGTCTTTAACTAGTTGTTAGCAAACTAGCTACTTAACCATTGCTAATTTGGGCTAATTTTTAGCCCAACTAGTAACTAGCCATGTGTATACAAACATGCCCTTAGTATCCATAACATAATGGCATTGGTGTCATGTGTGTGACCTTTCACAATCATTCTATAGGATTACAAAACATAGCGGTGAAAGTTTGAATCGTTCAACAAGTGAGCAAGCATTAGAGCTCCAATGCACAGAACCACTAGCAGCAACGCAATGCAACTAGCACGAAAAGAGTCATCTAGTTCTACCAGGCAGCAACGGTGCAATAAATTAAGCTACACTGAGCACTCAAAATTAAATAGCTTTAAGAAAGCCCAAACAAGTTAATAATCCAGAGCTTACTCGAATCCACGCCAAGCTCTTGCTGCTTTTGAAGCCCTGCCAAGCACATAGCAATAACATTCCATCAAAGGTCCATGCCACCAGTTTTCTATATAAAAAAAAAACCCCTCCATGCCACCCATTTCCCGGGGGAAATTAAATAGTCGACGAGCAAAACCTCGGTAATCGGTGCCTACGTAGCCGATGCGGAGCACCACCCTCTTCTTGCGCGCAGACTCCCACCGCCGCCATCATTGGCGGATGTGTCAGGCGGAGACAGGGACGGCGTTGGTTTGGGGCAGGCGGATGCGGATGAGGAATAGCAGAGGGTTGTACGCAGGATGCTAGGGCCCGCGCGCCCCGCAAGGAATGCGGAGGATATAGACCTCTGGAGAAGCCACGACGCCGACGCCGTGGCGGTGGCGGCGGCCATCGTCGAGGGAGGCGATGCGAGGAGGAGTGGCCCACGTGGAAGGTTCGTTAATTGCAGTGGCAGATAAGACCGAACATCGTGACGGGCTTTATCTTATGGGCTTTCTAGAGTTGGGCTTGTAAGACTAAGACCCACGAAATGCTCTATTCGCTAAAGATCCCCGATGGGTCGGGCTCAACTCGAATCATGCGACCTTGAGTTTTGGAAGAGTTTTGCAAATTTTGGATGGAGAGTACCTCTATTTCGACTTTATGGCCTGTTGCGGGCATGAGGCTCGCTAGTGGCAAAGACTCCAATGCCTCGGGTTGCTAGTCACGTGGGCTTTGCAGAACCAACAACTTTGATTAAGGGTCAGCCAAATATAATGACACATCGTATGTAAAAAATGTATATACAAGTGTACATCTCAACAAATTTTTCTATGCTTCTACATATATACTTAGGTTCATAAAAAAAAAAAATCACAATATTTTGATAAAAATATGAGTCAAAATAGGCTAAACGTGCTTTGTATTGTAATATTTATAAGACTATTAAAAAAATTAATATTGTTTTTTTTTGGGGGGAGGGGGGGGGCACGACCCTTGTTAGTTCCGCCACCTCTTTTAGAGGCATTGAGTTGGTCTTGACAATGGCAGATTCTACGATGGCAAATGTCGAGGTCTACCGGGTAGGACCAAAAAGCCTACAACAACCCTTACTATTTTGCTTGTCTAAGGACCTTTAAAAATATAGAGACGGACCTGTAAAGACCATTCCGTTGTCAAGCTTGTGCGGTTAAGTTTTGAACGTACTAGTTATATGCTGAGATCATGGGCTCACAAAATTAACGTACCCCTTTTATGAGTTACCACCCACACTTTTTCTAGGTATGTGGATGTATGGCAAGGGGACATAGTCCGAACCCACGGATTAGGGAAGGCTTGTATATCAAGATGGGGACTGGTGGACCCTCGAGTTGTGCGGAGCGGTTCAGTCAAGGTGGGTAAACGGGTGAAAGGTTGCCACGTGTGCCTTCATAAGTGTGCATGTCGTGTGATTAGGTTTACCCAACTCAATATAAATCAATTTGAATCACCGTCTCCTATCGAATATGAGTACCCCTTGATCCATGCCTTGCATCGCGGTAATGTTTGCTGCCAAGTCTTCACCGTGGACTGACGACGTGGAGGGTGTGAACTCTTCAAAGTTTGCCTCCAAGTCTTCTGATGCAGACGATAAAGCCATGACACCCTCCCCTCCTTGAGTGACAGCTTGTCTCCAAACTGGTGCAGCTAGAAACTGATCCTTTAATATAGCTTCATGTTCCTAGGTAGCCAAGGGATTCAGGCCATGAAGACCATTTTATTAGCAAATGAGGAACTAGCTTGCCATCCAAAGACTTGAGTTTCTTGTGAAGAATGCGCTTTGGAACCTGAAACTAACCATCAAGAAGGTCAACAACAAGCATAGCGCGATAAACTTGTTACTTATGCTATACGGTCCCAATAGTGTGAAAATTTGGAGGTTATAGTGCCCTCTACTTGTGCCTAATAGTCGGTGGTCAAACAAATGAAGATGTTCACCTTGTACATGCCCTGTGTACATCACCGTTGGATGTGTATGGGTACGTGTCCACAACTGGAGGGACAGTGTGATATGCATTAGTATTATTGTCTCCTGTTGTGCACACATACCCATACACACATTCAAGGTTAATATGTATATGAGCCACATGCCCTTAAGCATAGTTGTTTAACTCGCGATGCTATGGTGCTATTTTGTGAGTTTACGATTTTAGTTTATGATCTTACGATTTTGGTACGGTTTCAGATTGATTCTACGATTCTAATAAATAGAATCTACGATTCTATAGTCCTATTAGTTATGATTCTACAATTTGTGATCCTACCACTGGAGTTCCTATCTAATTCAAGATCACGATTTTAATAACCTGATCTTAAGAACAAATTTTACTTTAACCATCAGTTAGCTCCTCTCGAGGAAAGAAACATGGAGTCTTGTGCCGAAGACTCGAAGTTACAAGGTGAGGACACGGGAAGGAATTCTTTGGATTGCTTGTTGTAGTCGTACGTATCATGCAGACAATAACGCAATCAAGTGATAATAAATCGATACAGGTTTCAAGTACTGAGTATGAGTATGAGTATGAGTATGAGTATGAGAGCTTTGGCTATGTATGGTGCCGACGATGGCGACGCATACCTCCCGCTCCCATGCAACTATGCAAGCATGTGCAACGAAGGGTGCGGCCAGGTGTACAAGGTCCCTACCGCATATGGAATTTTGCTTCTTGTTAAGCTGTCCAGCTAATTTGATGATCGGCGTCGTTGTTAATACAAGACATCAGTACGCAGTACAGGCCTGGCATGGCTTCCTGCAGGACAGATAGAGACAGAAAATGACAGATTTGTATCACATACTGTATATCGTCGTTAGCTATAGTAACTAATTACAGTGCAATAATCCTTATATATCCTTGGGATAAAAACTGTCCGAGAACACTGCCAGGCATGCATTATGTATAGAAGGAATTGGTTTTGTTGTGTGTGTGTTCGCACGTACATATCAGGCAGCAGGCAGGCCAGGCAGGCAGAGGCAGAGTTAGAGGCAGACGTGCGTGTGGTTCCTACCGAATCAGCAGGATACGTGCGTTAACCGATAAACATCATGCGCTAGTATGGAGTTTGGCCTGTACGCGCACTTTTTCTTCAGTAAACATTATCCATGCTTAGCAGTAGCAATAACAGAGATGCATCTATTCCAGAAGATCGCTCTGTCCATCCATAATTAGCTAGGATTTAGGTGTTGGTTTGATCTCCCAACCACAGTGGCCCAACGGCCATTTGGACCTTGACCTCGCGCTCTCATCGGGGGCGCCCAGTCCATCTATGGCTGGCGGGTCCCGTCACACTGCGCATTAAATAGAAGTGGGGGCCGACGGATCTAAGGATGAGGTTGGCCTGAGCCGTACGCCCCACCGACAAAACCCTACTCCGATCTAACAGAGGGGCGCAACCAGTGACGGGAAGCACCGCCGCCGCCACGGCGCTACGCCACCACGGTCTTCACCCGGGTCTCCACTGCGATGCCCTTCTTCTCCGGCGAACCTGTGATGGCCGGATCCGCCTCCTCAATGCCTACCGATGGTCAGTGCCTAACCCTAACTCTCCCTCTCCCTCTCTGTCCCTCTCCGTACACACCATTTCTACGAGAAACCCAATGAAACCCCACTGATCTACACCACGGATGGTCCTAAGACTCTAACAATGGTATCAGAGCCATGGTTGCTAGCGTGTTATCTAGATCGGGGCAAAGAAAAGAAGAAAAAAAGAAAGAGAAACGAACTTCGGTTCGGAAAAAATGAAACCCTAACCCTAAAGAAATTGGACGGTCCGGGAAAGTCTTACCAGGGCTTCCCCGCCGCCGTCACTACCGCCTCACGCAGGATGGAGCACCCGCCGCCGGCCTGATGACGCGCGGGAAGAAAATCAAAAGAACAGAAAAGAAAAGAACGGATTAGATAATTTCGAATCTAAGCACACAAACTAGGGTTTTACCTAACCCTAACCCTAACTTCGATCCCCACACCACAAATCAGTTCAATCCGAACACAAAAGAGAACCAAATCTGATGGGGAAGAACGGGAAGGGGTAGTCTACCTCGCCGCGTGCGCCGGGGAGACCCTTTGCCGGCGCAGGAGAAGAAGACCGAACCGGGGGAGTTGTTCGCCCGGGCTCGGCCAAAGGAGCGCGCACGCTGGCGAGGGGGCCGGCGATGGCGCCATGGCTGCTCTCTCCGCCGTTTCGCCCGCTCGAGTCACTCGGTGGCTGCTGTTGCTGCGCTGAGGAAAGAAAGCAGAGAGCGGCGAAGAGAGAGAGAAGAGAAGGCCGAATGGCCTCTAGGGTTCGGGGACAGCGGCCGGAGAAGGTTTTGTTTCGGCCGAAACGATCGGACGGCCGTCGGATGAGATCTGACGGCGATAGATGATGATCTTGCGCTTTTCGGCCCAAAGGCGAGGCGTGCGGGCGAATTCGGCCCAGCCGAGTTGCGCCCTGGCGCTGGGAGAGCAGCAAGGAAGAAGCGCGTCTTTGCCATGGGCCGAGCCGGCTTTTGCTGGTTTTTGGGCCAAGATAGTCACAATGAGCCCGCGAGCCGATTTTCGCTTTTTTCTTTTTCCAGAAAATAAAAAAAAATGGAAATTGGCTAAAAAGAAAATAGAAAAAGTAATTTTCCCTATGGGTAAAATTCAAGAAAATGAGTTCTTTTTTCCGCTGCGAAGTTAAAGTTTATTATCTTCTCATTAAATTCGAACCAACGGGAGAATTTAATTTGAAGAGCAGTTGTAGTTATTCAGTAAATGATGAAAAGTTAATCCTCTAGTTAAAATTGGAACCAACGGGAAAATTTTAATTGGAGGAATAGTCGGTTGATAGTTAAAATTAAATTATGGTATTGTTATTTTCTGACCAACGTTGATGATAATAATATTATAATTCTATGAGTTTTATGTTTGAAGTTTAAATCTCTGATGAATTTTGCATCAAAGTGATCAATTTTTCAGAGAATAGATAAAGATCAAGGAATGCTTTTAAACTAGAGAAATGTATTTTCATGTTTCCGCTGCAATGAAGTTGATTGTCTTCTAATTAAATTCGAACCAACGGGAGAATTTAATTTTAAGGAGCAGTTTTATGTTTTCAAGATTATTGAGGTTCTATACATTAATTCCAGTTCTGACCAACGGTGATGTGAAATTAATGTAGAAGAATGATGCTTTATTCTATTTCTGCCCAACGGTGATATAGAATAGAACATAAAGATTTTAAAGTTTAATGAGCATTATTGTTGAATATTTTTTCAGACAAAAGACCTCCATGCTTTCATTCTTGAAGGCAGTAAGAGAAATGAGCTGGGTACTTGAGACTCAGATGATGAAATGCCTAAGGGCAAGTTATGTATGAAAGAATGCCATTGTTTAAGGGACTGTGTTCTTTTTA